TCTTTCTGACATCTTCCCATCATAAATATTTCACAGCCCATTTATAGCAGAGTTAACTCACAAACTTTTCTCATTTTCAGAAAATCGCCACGAGCATGAGGGAACATCAGCTCGTACTCTGACACCAGATTATTATTGCGGCTTTCTCAATATATGTGAGAGGCTTGATAAATGTGGTTTGTAATGGATGAGACACAGTCAAAACCTGCTCATATGTACAGGAAGAACACTCTAGGCTTATTTTCCTGGCAGAGTGAAGAAACAGAATGACCCTGTGTTACAAAAAAGGGAAAAATAAAAACAAAGTGCAGCTCATTAGAAAGCCGCAAGCGGTCCAGAAGAGTTTATTCTGACAGCAGAAAGCACTTTCTACTCTCCCGGGGAGGGGATATTGATTGTTTGGCACTACACATGATTTCCTGTTAGAAATGGGAATTATTTTAGAAATAAATAGTTAATGCCATATTTTGAGAATTTATCTGCAAGTCAAAACGCATGCTGTGTATGAACAAGCAGACCTGGACATCCATCCATTTCCTTCTCCTTATCTGAAGTGAGGTCGCATTGACAAGAGGGTAAACTGACCATTTTAGACCCCTTTCCCCACCACCACTCCCAGTTCATCCTGGGAGATCCTGATGTGCTCCCAGGTCAGGTGAGACAGAGTTCTGGGTCTAATCCAGGTTTTACTCTCAGTTGTGGTAAAACCTCCTGAAGGATTCTGACCAGAGGCCTTCCCCACCTCACCTGGAACTCCAGCTTCTCACCCTGAGGCTGAGACTAGACAGTGTGGAGAATGCTTGTATCTGCGATGTTATTGTTTTGGTCATTACCATGATGATCTCATGTGAACAGGTGGTGGCTGGACAACCCATTAATTAAAGGTTTTGTGGTGTACTACTGAGGTTGGGCCAACTCTGGTGGAGTCAACACTAGGGATGGGTACTGGTATCTGACATAAACGGTAGTAACCAGACCGAAAAGCAGCGCACATTTCGGTGCTTTTTTTTCCTGAGATGTCATACACTTTGAATTCTAGCCAATCACTTTACGTTTCCGAGGATAGTAGGCGGGTCCAGGTACGTACGTTCTTTTAGAGCAGAGCTACATATTAACAATGCCCAAGGCTAAGTGGTCAAAAGTCTGGCTGTACTTCACAGCAAAAGATGCAAACTCAGCAGCCTGCAACAAGTGCTTTAAGGTGATACTGTGATACTGTGCAAAGGAGGTAACTCCTCTAATCTGATGAAACACCTGGCAACGCATAGCGTTTTTTTTAAAAGCCAAAAAATGCACCGTATTTGATAGCTTGCTGCGAGACCTCACACCGAGCACATCTACTGCGGGTGGGTTGCCTGTTATCGGACCCGGAGTTAGCAACATCCCCCAAAAACCCGAAGAGGAGAGTCCTGGCCCCTAGCCCTGCCAGTGTAGCAGAAATGATGACGGATGATGATGCAGCAGCAGCCGTTCTTCTCTGCATGAGTAGCTTAATGTTGTTCGTGTGTAATTTACGTTGAGTAGGCTAATCACGTTATTACATTAATGCATGTAAGGTGAACTAGCAAACACCGTCGTAGCTACATGCGGCTGTCTTCTTGTTTGATGACAGATACTCCCTTCACCCTGGCCAAAAAGGCTAAAATGACCAAAGAAAAAGAGGGAAACAGCTGAACATGAGAGGTTTTTGGACAAAATTTGTGTTTTTTTCCATTGTTTAAGCACTGCTTCCAGCCTAGAGTGATGCCATAAATCCCCTATAGCTGCAGAAAAGGCTAACATTGTTATCTTTTTACAAAAAAAAAACAAAAAAAAAAAAAACAAACAAAAAAAAAACAGCTGAACATGAGAGGTTTTTGGACCAATTTTGTGTTCTCCATTCTTTAAGCACCGGTTTGAGCACCGTTTGAGCACCGGCACCATTTCAAAATGGATAAAACCTAAACGATACCCATCCCTACTGACAACACGCAGTGAAAACATGCTCGAGCTTCAGAATAGGTCCACTCCTCCACTGCCAGCAGAGATTTGATGTTACCCCCTAAATCTGAGGGTAAGACTCACCTATTTCCTGAGGAGGCTCTGTAGTTGGAGCACAAGCTCCTATTTTATAAAACTACTCTACTGCCATCCCCAAACTGGATTCTGTATGTTTGTAGCAAGCAGTGACCCACTAATATAGACACTGGCACCTTAGTTCTATGGTACTCAAAATCAACATCAGCCAGTATTTGTTGTTGACTCATTTTCCACCATAATTTGCAAATAAATTCTTTAAAAATCAGACAATGTGATTTTCTGGACTTTTTCCCCCTCATTTTGTCTCTCATAGATGAGGTATACCTATGATGAAAATTACAGGCCACTCTCATCTTTTTAAGTGGGAAAACTTGCAAAGTTGGTGGCTGAATAAATACTTTTTCGCTCCACTGTACTTTGGTTAATTCTCAAGGAAGCAAATGACTACAAGAGAAACATAAAACTGTTTAAAACTGGTGACAAACTCAGCCAAACTTTAATCTACAGCTGGATTATTATGAGAGATATTCGATCAGAACTGATGAGAGATGTGGTTATTATACAGAAAATGAACAATTTCACAAATAAAACATCAACTACAGATAAGGAGAAGATCTATGCTGCACAGTTCTATCTAAAATTGAACTGAGAATGACAGAAAATTCATCCACGTTGTTCAATGTTTCACAGAAAATATTTAAAACTGTCTGACAACCAGCTTCACAGTTTTATGCAGCCGGTTAAACTTTGAAAAGGGGGGACTGATTTGACTCCTCACAGAGGAAAAAAAAAAATCCATTATACATTAAACTGATGACTTTATATGTTTTTAGTTTTTGCTCATTAAAAAGTTTTAACAAATATTCTTCTTTTTTTCCTCCCTACAACTGCTGCAGCTAATGAATGCTTTCGATTAAAGTTGAACTTTCTAGCATGTTTTGGATTCATTATGCAGTTGTGGTCTCCACTCCCACCCCACCTGCAACCTCTCCTTCATCCTCCACTCTGCTGCTCCTATCACAAAGTCTGGCCCAGGTTTATCATCATCAGTCGACAGTATACCAAGTAAAACTAAACTAACAATTACAAGTTGTTGTGATAAAACATTAGAATTCACTTAAATAACAATAAAAACTCAATTTTAGTGAAAATTAAAACTAAATAAAAATATAAAGAAAATACTTTTAGGTAAATGTTATTTTGACTTTAGAGAAAACCTACTGGTTTTCCAGTAAAATTAAAATAGTCCAGTTAGTCCTGAAACCAAGTCCAAATACAATATGTGTTTGTTAATGTGAGGGAGAGACACGTAATAGTGAAGCTGCAACGAGCAGAGAACGTGAAAGTGGATTAGTTTAAATCCCCGGAGACAACCATCCAAAGAAGGAGAGGGGAAGACGAGACTGCAGTCAGGGGTGGTTTACGAGATATTAGAGAGAGCTGCTGTGATGTGTGGTTTGCAGAAAGTAGCACTGACAAAAAGACAGTGGATTGTCATAGGGCGTGTCCAACATGGACGAGATAATCAATGAGTACATCAGAGGGACAGGGCAGCAGTTTGAAGAAATTAAAAAGCTAAAAAGGCAAGGCTGAGATGGTTTTGGACATGTGAAGAGCAGATAGTGGAGACAGAGCTGCCAGGCAAGAGGAAAAGAGGAAGGCCACAGAGACAGGGTGAGGTGGAGGTAGACGGTCCGCTGCTGTGACCACTGAAGGCAGCAGTTGAAGGAAAGGAGAAGCAGACTGTGACCTGAATAAAAAGCTGTCATTTTTAGATGTGCCGAATCTTCTCCCTTACATTACTTCATATTTTTGTCAGTGAAATCTGCTATTTTCTGCATAATGCTACTTCTACGGTAAAGTGGCTGTTGAGGTACAGCCGGTCATAGACTAATCCAGCCTGCATGCCAAAGTAACTGAAGCCCGAGTTGCTCTCTGGTGCGTTTATAAGAATGTGAGTGTGTAGGAGGGATGTGGTCTCTGGCCTGCTGCAGTGGCGGGGTGGTGCAGTGAGCTCATGGGGTGGTGCCGGGATGTCAGAGGGGACAGGTGATAATGATGGCACTGATGACTCGCTGCCCTTTTAAAGTGATGAAAGAGACTGGTGGAGCGCTGTGTGTAGCGGAGAGAGCTGGCTCCGGGCTACAAGACAGTGCCAAACATAAAAAGACGCTTGTGGTCAAAAATAAAGCCGAAACCATGACAACTGTACACTGTGTGGGTCCGGTCATTTCACAGTGTTAGATAGAAAGCTGGTGTGAATGAGGCATGTTGCATAGAGTAAAAAAAACACTCTTTAAAAAAAACAGTCCATTTGCCAAAGTTTACATTTTGTTTAAAGCAGAGCTTTCTGTAGAGTTTTCACTGTGTTTATTTGGGACTTAAAGTCCTTAAAAAGTTCAAATTTATCACTGACTGGTGAAAAAAATTGGAAAGAAGAAATCAGCAGTCACCCTCCATGTTCACTTTAGCTCAGTTAGCCTCTCATGTGTTTGACCTACACACGAGTAATACAAGAGTACATGAGGGGCTCAGCTCCAAATACTGGACGACTCAGTAAAAATAACTGAAGGGAGCCAAAACTTTGACAGCTGCTTCTTCATCTTCCTCGGGCATTTCAAAACTCCTGGCCTCTTGCCTCTGTCTCCTAACCCTTGGACTTCACTTTGAGAGAAAACGTCATTGACACAAGACCCTTTAATAATGCCAATCTGTGGATCTCTGCAGAAGACCGTCTTTTTCACGTCACTACAACATTAAATGCAGGTTATAGAAGCAAAGCCCACCAGTGGCTTCATTAAAAAGGCTGGAAATTGAAAGAAAAGGTAACCTGAGACTATCAAATTACATATTATTTTCTTATTTTTCCTGCCGGAGACTTTGTGCCTCTGGTTGGAATCGTACCAGCGACCTTTCACTTCTACATAAGAGGCAAAAAAACCCCAAACATATAAAAGATTTCTATTTTTTCCCCCACTTACCTCGACTCCCACTGTAGAAGGGGTTTGTCAGTGGCAGGGACACCAGTCTCATTGGGTCTCTTCCCATCATCCCTCCATCATTCTTGTGCAGCCCAAATGTCCCGTTTCCTCCGTTCCCTCCTCCTCCTCCCTGACTACCTCTGGTGCCGCACTTCCGGCCAGCTGCACCTCCGTCTTTGACACCCGCTGGTTTGGCCAGCGTCACCTCCACAGCGGCTCCGTCGATCTGGGCTCCGTTCATGAGGCTGAGCGCGGTGAGGGTGTCGCTGCGAGAGCGGTAGTGGACGAAGGCGTAGTCGGTGAGCTTCTTGACTCTCTCCACGCAGCCCGGCTTGAAGCGGGAGAACTCCTGACGAAGAGTTTCCTCCGACGTCTCCAGCATGAGGTTTCGCACCTGAAGTACAAACGAGATAAGTGGCTGCTCAGGCTTTGAAAGCAGAGAATGAAATAAAACACACAGCAGACAGACGATGCAGATCACTTTTATTCCTGGTAACCATGTCCGAACAGCAGCAGGAACAACCCTCTGGCACCAAAAAAAATGTTTGACTTCACATTTTTAGTCAAACCTTTTCAAAAATGATCAAACAAAAGGCGTGTGGCATTACATGTCCTCGTTGATCTCACCACGTTTTGACCCAGAACCATTTTATTTGTCATGATTTCACCTGATGAAGTGAAAACAGGCTTCCCCACTCACACCTTACCTCAGGTGACCTCAAAAGGTCACATGACAGTGTGGTCTCAACCCCCGGTGATGATAATGGCTAAAGCCTTTTTTCACACATTGTGGGTCATGTGATCAATAGAGGGTTAACAGCCACCTAAGAGGAGAAACTCAACTACAGTTTAAACTCCATCTTTTGGTTTCAGAACTGAAAGCGCCTCTTGGGTGGGAGCAGAAATGTCTTCACGAACTTAAACAAGTGCAGCTGCCTTCTATTATTTTTACAAGCTCTTAAGGAGCCAGTGTTGGGCAGTGTTAGGAGAAGCTGGCTGAGATATGCACCTAGTTTTTTCAGGTTTTTCAGGAAACTAACTGTGACCAGACCAAGCTAATTCTGGGCTTAGACCCAGAATTAGCTGGAAAGATTATTTCTCTCGTCTGGCCTGGAAATTCCTCGGAAACTTTCAGGAGGAACTCAACTCTGGATGGAAATGGTGTCAATTAAATCACCAGAATAACAAAATAAATCCAGACAGGCAGAAAGTGCTGGGAGTTTAAGTGAAGAGCCAGATAGGAAGTAGATTTGCTCTGTCACTAACCGTTTATCAATACAGGACACTAGGTTGCCTAGGTAACCCTGTAAAGTATTTATTGCCCTGCCAATCAGCGGTACCCAATGGCTTGCCTCGAAGCTGAGAAATCATTTAATTGATTTCCCATCATCTCTGCTCGCCGCGTTGCTTCTGTTTGCTTCCTTTTGGTCTCGTGTGTTGAGTACAGATGAATTTAAATGGTTTTTTTGTGCATTTTTCTATTCAATTCAAACAAATCACAACCGCAGTCGCCTCAAGGTGCTTTATATTGTACGGTAGGGACCCAACAATATTACAGAGAAAGGCTCCTGTATGTTTAGTGTCAGCAGCTTTTGTGGCTCTGCTATTTTCTAGCAGCTCGATGGTGTTTTAGAGCAGCTGAATTCAGAATAAAGCTGTTCCCTGTTTTTGTTGTCAGACAACTGCACAAGCATGAAACAGGCACACACACCCTCCCTGTTAAGACCTAAAAACAACTTATGGCCATAAACAGTTGTTTCAGTTACTTTGCTCTGCTTTTTTATTTTGTTCAATTAGCCTTCTTGCCAGCGATAAACTTGTATATTTAGTTAAGCCCATCTACCAAGTCCTGCCACACAACTTTTCCATGACATGCTCAGCAAACTCAGCCCAGTTTAATGCAGAGATGTGCATTAAACTTAACGGTAAAATGATCGGGAACGTTTTGGTTGAGATTCCCTAGATGGAAGACCTGAACTGAAAACCAGCTCATTCGCGATGCATGCAGCAAACCAGCAGGATAAGCCTCAACTACCGTGGAGCTGCAGATTTATCCAGGAACAAGCTTTCTGTTTTGGACACGTGAGCTTCATCGAACTCCTTACAAACACCTTTAGAGTTTTAAAGATTTACTGTCTTTGTTACAGCCAAACCGAAGCAGAAGACAGTGGAGCTGGTGACTGAAGAGGTATAACAAGAGCCACCCGAGCACATTAAAAAGCATCCTGATTAGTGTCTTTGAAACTCCATCTAACACCAATGTTAGTGAAAAAGTCTTAACAAACTCAAGCAGTCACATTTTGTGCAGACGAACAGATTCTGCTCGACTTCTCTCTAAACTTCATCGCTGTGGCTGATGAGAGGCCGAATGAACGGAGCAGCTGCGAGCAGGTTTTCTCGAGTCGAGGGCTTGGTTTGCTAAAAATACCCCTCGCACTGTACGTGCTGGCCTCGGATCACACCTCAGTGTTTCAGCCTCCTCAGTAATTGATCCCCTGGAGGGTGAACGGCTCCTGCTGCTGCTCACCTTTGATATGGGTGAGGCAGATGAGTGTTTCATGGGTTTCTGCCTGAACACACGCCGACCTCTGCTGCACAGCGCAGCTTTCGTTACACTCGCTGAGGCCCGACTCGCTAAACCGAGGGTTGAAGTCAGGTTTAGGAAAGGATGGATTGTCACAAACGATGCAGCCAGATCCAGGCCTGTTTCCACCAATCAGAGTTCAGCTACTTATCACCCTACATTAAATCTACAGTGACAAATATTAGTTCAGTTTGTTTTCCAATCAATTACTGGTTCTGTCGCTAGCTAACATTAACTAATGTAGCAACCAACAAACCAGCGAGGTGGTGTCACGTTCTGTACCGGCAAAAAGATGGCGCTAAACAAGCTTTAGAAAATGTAAACACTTCTTACATCCAGCGTCACAGACGGTGTTAAATCTATGACAACAAGAGAACTTGCAGAGCGCAACACTTTGTTTTTTATCATAACACGTTGCCATCGTTGTGATGTAGTAGGGCATACATTGGACAGCTCTGTGTTTTCATATGATATATTACTCAACATGTTTCCTTGAAACTGTTTTTTCAAGGTTAACTTTAACCTTTAAACTTGTGGACACTACACTGCTAACAAACAAACTAAACACGTGTGTGTTTGTGTATGTGTGTACGTACATAAAGGACCCTAACACGCTGCATGACCTCCTCATCCACATCTTTCTCAGGCTCCGCCCAGTCGACCTGGATGGAGTGACCCCACAGCTGGAAAGTTCCTGCGGGACACAGCAGCATCACGTGACTGTAACGTGAGGGTGCTGACGGTTTAAATCCGTCAATGAATGAACAACACGCACACAGCTGGCTCTCCGCTGGCAGGACACACACATAATAAGGGTGGCTGTTAAAAAGAGGAAGTTTTCACGTTGCTCTCAGCAGATGAGGCTCCTCTTCCTCCTGATTAACTTCCTGTTTCACACCATTGTGATTCTCATTTTAAATCTCACTTTCATTAAAAAAATTTTTTTAAAGGGAACAAAAACCTTTTCATCTTTGTTTCCCTTCTAAAGTTGCTGCTGGTGGTTAGAGTAATAACCTCGGCTTTATACCTTCAGTTTCCTGTAGCTGCCCTGAATCAACACCTGCTTGACAGGTGTCCGACTCCACCGTGCAGGAAATCTGCAGGAGCAGCAGTTTGAAGATAAAATAAGCAGCTGGGGAACATGTTTGTGGTTAATCCGGTGAATCGATTGACTGAAGGATCAATGTCCAATGCAGCCCAGGGGCTGAGACAGGAGGGAACCGATAGCTTAATGGAAACAGCCAGCTGAACCTCCGGACAGCAGCGCAAACTCATCGGGAGGGGAAAGGAGGCAAAGGGGGGAACACTGCAGGGGTGTTCTCATACTCACGGCTCAGTTATCCAACATGATTAGCACTATTAGAGCCACTGAATGTGATTTTTTCCAAAGTTTGAGCTTTAAATATGAGTAAAAGTGAAAAATAAAGACAAAAGAAAAAAAAAGAGGCGGAGGTGAACACAGTGCCTCAAAGCAGCCACATGGAGCCTTCAATAACACCTCATCCCCTCTGCACACAGCTGGGTTACACCTCTGGGCACCTACAGTGTTTGGTTCAATGGTCAGCGGGATGCAGAAACTGCACACGTGCTATTGTCTGCACAATGTGTATTTTCTCAGATTTTCAGTTTCAAATTTCCAGACTGTCTTATTTAATCCACTTAACGTACATAATTCACTTACTTTCTGCATGTAATGCTACTTACTGCACATAGTGTCCTTCTGTATATATCCACTTAATGTATCGTGTGTCAGGATACATTCCACTGCCTGTTGCACTTGTATGTGACAGATAAATAATCTTGGCCACTCCCCTTGTCTTTGCAGACCGAACTCATCAATGCAAGACACACCATCTGTCCTGCTTCAGATTCATTACAGCAGTTTGTTTCTGCAGTACTCTTGTATCACAGCAAAAAGGTTGTGGGTTCAAACCCATGTGGAGTTCTGAATGTTTCTTCTGCCGTTACAAAAAGCAAACATGCCGGGTTGGGTTGTTTTCTCTCTTACATCATCGCTTTAAAAGACTCGAGCACTCCTGTGGATTCTACATCAGTGAACTCATCTTCTGCTGCTTAAACGATCAGAGCTTTGGAAGCTGCTGTCTTTCCTCTATAAACCCTCGGACCCAGAAGTCAGTCTGTGCTGCCCTCTGCTGGACGCTGAGAGGAACTGAGTCAGCTTAAAGGCTGCAGGTGCACACGTGTGACTCGGCACAGTGAAAACAAACAGTGGACACACAGATGTCTTCAAAGGTTAGGAAGGAAACATGTGGAGGAGGAGGACGAGGAGGAAGGCTACCTGGAATGAGCTTCCTGCGAGCCATCGCTGCAGCTTTGTGGGACTCGTACTCCACAAAGGCGAAACCTCGATTTCTGTTCTTGTCTGTGGTGCTCGGGTACACGATCGCATCCACCACGCCGTCCGTCACCTGGACACATAGATGCAGAGGGGGAGTAGCAGAAACTGAGATCTGAGAGACACACACTGCTTCAGAAAAGAGAGCAAACAGTACGACAGGGAGAGTGAAAGGAATCATCTGATTTTAAAGTGCCTTAACTTGTCCTGTTAGAAAGCCCTTTGAAATAACAATATATATATTATGTTTTATCATCATAAAATTCACAAACCAGCTCCATAAAAGTAGAACAGGAGGCGTCCTGCACAGATGTGACTCCCATCAAAAACCCAGTGTCAAACTAACAGACGGCCAGTGGGCTGCTCTGCTCTCTTTCCCGCTGAGGCCATTTTTACCATCTTTAACATGACGTTTATAAACAAATATCTGTAGGGGAACCATCTTTCTACTAAATATTTTCAGCTATTTTTTCAGGTTTTTCATCAAAGACGGTGAGGAGGAGGAGGTGGAGGAAGCTGCCAAGCAGCAGATCAATCACTGCTGAATTAAACAGCAGCTGTGCAGAGAGCGGACAGCTGAGGCTCAAACTGAGAGGTGGCCGCGAAACTCTGCAAAGAAGCAAAGCTTCCACAGTGAGGACGCATTAAAGCTGCAGAGCAGGCCAGACTGAATCTGAAATGATCCATCTGCTACCTGTAAGACTTTAACTTAGAGCATCTTCTTCCTCTTACAGCGGTCTGACCCTCCTCCATTTCCATTAGCAGTGATGAGGAATAAGCTTGGACACAAAGATGCTGGTATCACATATGGAAACCAGGAACTGTGGGTCAGTGAGTGAGTCTGCTTTACCTTCCTCATCTCCTCGATGATCTCGTCCTTCCTCTTGTCTTTGGGGATGGAGCCGATGAAGAGGCGGCAGTTGTCCAGACTCACGCACACGCCGATGAACTTCCCAGGGCGCACCTCGTAGTTGTCCAGCATCTGGATGGCTCTCTGCGCTGCTTCTCTGGAGCACAGAAACACTCGTTTTTAAGCTCTTTGCACAGGTTTCACTTCACTGGACTGCTTAACTACTTTTACCAATAAGAAAAAATAAATGAACATATACTCAGTGTGACGTGACTCAAAATGCCTGTGTCCTACACATATAAACACCTGAAAAACAAACGCAAGAGTCAAAGAAAACTGAGGAAGACGAGCGACCTGTCGGTGTACATGACGAAGGCGTAGCCGCGGTTCTCTCCGCTGAACTCCATCATCAGTCTGAACTCGTAGATCCTGCCGGCTTTCTCGAACAGTGGCACCAGGTCATCCTCGTACATGTCTCTGGGAATCTTTCCAACGAACACCTCACAACCCCGCGGGGGGGCGGGACCCTCCCAGCCTGTACCACAGACACAGAGTCAGCTGATCAAAGCCTTCATATTCATAAACACTTCTATCACTTATTTGATCAGATTAGAAGGTATTTCTGGGATTTCTACTGGGATTTTCGACTTTTTAATTAGGAGCTTAAGTAAAAAAAATTATTATTATTATTAAAATATGTGGAGTGGAGCAGATGCTGCTGCAGGTATTTTTGACAGCTGTGCAGATTACAGCAAATCTGATAAACTGAAAGCAGCATAAATGTAAAAAATGAATGCATGACTTACAAAAAAAAAGTTTATGTAACAAATTAATTTAATAATTGAAATAAATTTAAATACTAAAATTAAAACTTAAATAATTTATATTAAAATCAGTAAACTAAAGTGTCAAAATAAAATTTAGAATATATAAATAATAATTTATTATTGAATTGACTTTTTAATTAAAACAATAATTCACATTTGTAAAAGTAAAGAAAATTAAATGTGCAAAAATAAATTATTTGAAACTCATTAAAGCAAAATGAATATATAAAAGACGTGTTTATCTGTTAGTTAAACGAGTACTGTATACTAAAAATAAAATCACCAAATCAAAAGAACAGGATGCAAAATATTTCAGTTTTACACAAATACAATGAACTGCAATAAAGAAGAATATCATCAGTTATTTAAAAAAGTGCAAATAATTAAAATTAGTGAATTCAAATGTATGCCTTAATAAAAATAAAATGGTTTTAATGAAAACAAAGCCCACAGTTTCCCCTCCGATCTCTGCTTCACATCTAACCAGGAAGCCACCTTGGTACCTGCCTCTCTCATACACATCTGTTTTGACACAAACGGGACTCCAGAGCTACCCCGGGGCTGTTGTGTGTTTACTTGTGTCGCAGGTTGACATACCTGGAGGTGGACCTCCGTACTTCCTCTGCCCGTTCTCCTGCACCATGTTGTAGCCCGTCTTATCGATCAGGGACAGCAGAGCCATCTCTTTAGCACAGATCACCTTTAAGTCCTCCTCCATCACCAGCGGCCTCGCCTCTTCACCCGAGTCCGTGTCCACGTCTCCCTCCATGGGATCCTCTGTCCGACAAACAGCTAGGTTACCTGCCAGCTCAGGTGAGACTGCAACACTCAGAAATTGAACCCGAGGGTGATGTGAACTTTTAGTGTCTTATAATTTATTTTACTCTCTTGAAAATATTATCTGTGCTTTTTGCCTGTTTTCTAAGTCACCGTTTTGTATATACTAAAGCCGCTATAAAAGCTAAACTAGCTTTCATTTGCTTTTGTAGTTTATTTTTCACACTTTCAAGCGTTCACTTCACATCTTAACGCCAAACAGCAACATTTAACACTAATAGTTTCTTTCTAAACTGCTCGTGTAGCTAGCTTTATTCGTTTAAAGCTTAAAAGCAGCCAACGATCCGCTGCTAACTCAGCATGCTAGCAGTTCCGTGATATAGCTTAAACTTTCTCTTCGTCCGACCGTTTGTAAACCATTAAACCATGATAATGAAACTTTATTTTGGGTCGGATAAAATCTTACCGCTTCTTTCCAGCTCCATTTCCTGTCACAATGAAATAAAACCCTCCCGTTCCCGGACGATGCTGCGCTCTTCATCAACGACTCACCGAGAAAAGAGGCCGGGCCAACCTGACACCTGTGAGTGACAGGAAGCTGGCCTCCCGTCAGCCAATCACAGCGTTCCTCTGTATAGGCGGGGCAACAGAAAAAGGATAAAAAAAAAAATCTAATAAAACAAAATAAAATCTTAAAGTATGACCCTGAACTTTGGAAATTGTTTTATAATAATAATAATAATAATAATAATAATAATAATAATAATAATAATAATAATAAATTAATTAATATACCCCTCCAAAAATCTAAATGTGATTTTATTTACATTAAAAAAACAAATAAACTATAACACCAATGAAACGAAACAAGGAGCAATAAAAAAATAACAAAATTACAAAATGTAAACGAAGCATGTGTAAAATAATTTTGGAATAATTATCTAATAAAAACAAAAAATAATAAAATGACACAAAACCATATACTAATCATGTTATGTTAATAAATTTGCTTCTTGAACTAAAATTGTGATTAAAGCAGATCTACACTTGAAGTAACCTGGAAAAGACAGAGACTCAAGTCTGCTGAATTAAAATAAAAATTTATTTAATATATGACTTGAACATACAAGAAATAAGGCAAGCTTATTTTTCTTGTTCTCCTCGACTCCAAACATTTTTTCTCTTGGTGATGACTCAGACTAAAAGTCTGTAAAATGCCAGGACTCAACACTTATTGAACTTTAAATATTTTATTGAATTTTCCTTTTTGAATGTTTTGTTGTTCAGGGGGCAAATTTCTGCAAGTTTGAATGGCTGGTTTTTCTTCATGAGGCCATCCAGATGAGGAAAGGCAGTATAACAGCCAGTAGCACAGAGCACAGACTCACAGCCTGCAGGTAAAGCACCCAACACAGTGCCAGCACTGCCGCTGACTTGGCAACACGCTGACTCAGTAGCAGCTTCCTCATCGTCTTACAGAACTGATGAGGAGAAGAAGAAGAAAGGCAATAATGTAAAACCATATATTATAGTGATGGTAATTTAAAACCCTTAATCTGCTCGTCTTATAGTGTGAGGAAAGAAATACACTGACGTGTATAGGGGGCAAATATTCAGTTTTGTGTTGAAATGAATTGAAAGGAAAAGTTTTTATTTTATTAGAGTGGTACCTGAAATTTTCCCAGTGTCACAGTCACAAGCCTAACTTTAGACACACCTGTTTAACTGCACTTTGACAAAAATATCTAATCGGCCAATCACATGGCAGCAGTTGAGTGCATTTAGGGCCATGATCAACCTGCTGAGCATCCGAATGGGGAAGAAAGATGATTTAAGATGATTTGTTGGGTGTTTCAGAAACGGGTGATCTGCTGGGATTTTCTCACACAACCATTTCTGAGGTTTGCAGAGACTTTTTTTTTTTCACTCCGTGTGAAAATGCCTGGTTGATGTCAGATGTCAGAGGTCAGAGAGTGTCTGGTTTGACTGATAGCAAAGCAACAGTAACTCAAATAACCACTCGATGCAACCAAGATATGTAAAAGACCAACAGCAGCAGATAACTGCACCAGGGGTGTCACTCCTGTCAGCTAAGAACAGAAAACTAAACATACAGTTTGCACGGGATCACCAAAAACAGAACATTGGACAACAGAAGATTTGAAAAATGCTTCTTGGTCTGATGAGTCTCCATTTCTGCTGCAGCATTCAGATAGTAGAGTCAGAATTTGCTGTAAACAGCATGAATCCATCCTGTCTTGTAACAACAGTTCAGGCTGCTGCCAGTGGTGTAATGGTGCTGAGGATTTTTTTAAACCTACAGCCCATCTGAGTATTGCTGCTGACCATGTCCGTCCCTTCTTGTACCCATCTTCCTGATGAATAGTTGCCCCTAACATGCCACAAAGCTCAAATCATCTCAAACTGGTTTCTCAAACGTGACGATGAGTTCGCTGAGTTGAAATGGCATCAAAAGTCACCGGATCTATTTGGGACCTTTGGGAAGTAGTAGAACTGCTCATCATGGATGCTCAGCTGACAAATGTGCAGCAACTGTGTGACGACATCATGTCAATATGGACCCCAACCTCAGAGGAATGTTTCCAGCACCTTATTTAATCTGGACCACTAAGAATTAAGATGGCTCAGAAGGCAAAAAGGAGGCCCAACCCAGTACTAGCAAGGTATACCTAATAAATTGGCCAGTGAGTGTGTGTTCTTTTGGACTGCAGTGCAGAGTTTAAAATCAGCACCGTGTTTCCACTAGATGGAGTAGTTGCACAGTAATCTGGTTTTCATAGCTTTACATTTGTAGACAGTCACTTCTGAAACAAGTGAAAACCATCCACAACACATGCTTTTGTGCTTGTTTATCAGCTGACCGATAAATTATCTAATCTTAAAGGTACTGCCATGCTACCACACAGCTGTCTTTAATTACAACTTTCGCTTTTTTACAAGTCTTCTATCCAAATGACGTTCTTTAAGCCGCTTTGCTCTTTTTAAATTTCACTTTAATTGCCACACTCGTCTTCCTCCAGTTCATGCACTGCCTTCTTTCACGATTATGGTACATGCTTTTAATCGCATGCTGCAATCAGACGGCCTCGGAACAATGCAGCAACAACAAAAGAGCTTTCACTCAGGGCCTGTTGCTGCAACAGGGAGGCTTAACCCTATTAAAGAGGCAGGCTGGTCTGATCTGTGGTCAGTGTTAATCTGCAGCAGGAAACAACTGCTTCGCAGCTGAAGTGTAGGAAAGAAGCATGATCTGATGTGTGTTCACTGTTGGAGGAGCTGTTTGCTGTTCTTTCAGAGATTCTGAGCCTTAAGGTCAGAGTTTGGGTGAGAAGTTTTTACATGAGGATAGATTGTCCGATGGTTGTTTAAATGCATTCACTGATATGCTGTCGAGTGGCGCCCCCTAGTGAAGAATGTCACACACTGGTATTGCAGACTGAAACCGATTGAAAGCAGCAGGTTAGCAATCTGTCTGCTTTTATAAAGTGCAATTATTTGCCAACCAGGAGGATGCAGGTAATCCAAATTGTGGATTACAGGTCTCCTGTGCAATTGCCTTGCCATTAAAAAAAGACCCCCAAGAGATTAAAGATGTTGGTGAACAGCTGGTTGACCAGATTGGTTGCTAAATATGAAGAAATTCAATGAAATTGCTAATTTCCCCTGATCGCAAGGAGGTTCCTGTCCTGTTCTTGCTTTACTGTGACAGTCAGTTACCTTCATAGTTTAAACATCACAAGCGCTTCAACTGCTATTTCAGCAGCTTAACTTCTTAATTCCATTTTTCATTTCCAAAGTCAGGAGCAGGATTTGAATCCATGCCGCCCACTGAGGAGTTGGACCTTGAATGTTGAATTTTGTGGCATTTACCCACCCAGAGACGAACAAGTGGTGCCATTACAGCTGCTTTCAGTGCTTCCACATAAACTGAGGAGAACTACAATAATAAGTTGAGCTTTCTATCAGCTATAAAAGACAAACTGACAACAGTCGTGCAGTTGTGTGATTGATTTTCCAAACGTGACTTTAAGATGCATCTATTAATAAGAAAAAAACACATTATCATCTCTAAGATCACCTGAAATGTCTGGAAGCTCATGACAGTGCCGTATCTGCAGTACATGACAAAGTGTTCACAGTTGTACCACAGCAGGCTGTAGGGCACTTCTCCCTCTAGCTTCTCTGCCCTTCTGGCCACATCCTCCCCTTTCAGCACTGCGTGGCTTAATACCTGCACACAGAAGAGAGCAGCCTGCATGTTGAAGTATGTTTGGGCAAGATCCCAAACCCCAGGATTCCTCTGTGTGGGTGTGTGTTTGAATGTTTGATAAAATGCTCAAGCACAGGAAAAAAGTGTTTGTATGACTGTGTGAATAGGACTTGTAGTAGAAAAGCACTTTGAGGTCTCAGTAGTAGCAGAACAGTGATTAAGTGCCCGATTACAGTAGGAAAGTGCTTTATATTCACAATTGTAGTAAAAAAAAAAAAAGAGCACTCAAATTGTAGTAAAAAGGCACTTAATATTGGTGAAAAGCGCTATATAAGTACACGAGTATTTGCCATAACCCTACGTTGCCTGCAGCTGTTGCCACATCTATAATCCCTTCAGATTAACATTTATTTAGAAGGTTAGTTCCCAGTTTGTTGGCCAGAAACATTTGAAAAACAACATCGTGTTCTCTCTTTTTCTCAGTTTAAAGCTATAAAAGGTGTTGCTTCACAGGCAAGTGTTTCTCTTTTTACTCACTAATTTGGATTAACCCAACAGTGGGTTCATGTATATTAAGCCCACAGTCTAGCATAAAAATAGTATAAAGAATCCTTAAATGTAACTTTATGACATCTCATACCAATAAAGTGCCTTTGGGTGTATTACTATTTAGACTAAGGATTTATCAATAATAGAATAATGTGTTAAGTACTTTAATTATAAGATGTTAAAGAAGTTAAAATGTTTGTTTTGTCCTGATATCACCTTATCCATAGGGTTGACCCGTATGTCTGCTCCATAGGCAAAGTCCTCTACTGAGTCCACCCTCACACTGCCACACTGAAGACACAAGACACGGGTTAGATCTCATTTACGACTGATTCTTTACCTGCTGTCATGTGATATGAGCGAATAAGCTGTTGCACATTAAACCGGATGCTCAGCTGCTGCACCACTTGGTGTACCTTAGCCAGTACTCCAAGTAGGAGTCTAGTGTTGGAGACCATCTGACTGATCCGATACTGGTCACTGGAGATGACGGGCATGATGTCTGGGATGAAATGAGCTACTCTGTGGAAAGGAAAGGAGTCATGAAAAATAAATGGAAAGTGTGAGTCATTGGTGAGAAAGGAAGGAAAAACATTTTCACTTTTTTGAAACAGAATTTAAACCTTTGAACTGTTTCACTGATATTCTAGCTGTCTGTCACCCTTACCTGTCTCCACCCAGGTAAATCCCAAAGTGTATGAAGAGAGTCCTGGGAACCTCCAGCAGGTCTCCTCTGGTGAATATTGTGTCATATTTACTCTTCCTCTTCTCCCCTCCATGACACTCCGGCTCCTCTTCACTCTCCTTCTCTTTCTTCTTCTCCGCCGGTGGCTCGAATCCCGAGGCTGAGATAAAAAGCAGACCGAAGAGCGGCAGGGGAAACATGTTGAGAGGAGACCAAGGGGAAAGTGGAGCTGTCTGCGGTGTGGTTTTGTTCTGCTGGTGGGTGGGGCAGAGAGGGGATTAGAAACTGCTGGGAACCTTTAAGAGCCTTTTTTGAGCAGCACACTCTACAGTCACATTTTACATTGTTGACGTTGATCTCTAACAACATTTTAGAGTCTTAAATGTGATCAAAGATCCGTGCCTTGGTCACAAATAAACTTTAAAATCTTGATGCAGAATCTCAAACTTGATTTGAAACATAATCTTACCATCTGTCAGATAATATAAGCTGCAGCCATTGTTTCCATGTAGTTGTAGTTCCCACATGTCACCAACAGATGGAGGTAACAGTGTACCAATCCACAGAAGACTACGTTTATAATGAGAAACATGAGAAGCGTTGTATGAAGCAAAACACTTGGGACGAAGCTTGAAAGTGGATATTTGGTGTGACCACCTTTATTCTTAAAACAGCCTGAATGTTCTATTGTAATTTTTATAAGTAGTCTTGAGGAATAGTTCTCCAGACTTCCTGAAGGACATCCAAAACTCTTCTTTGGATGCTGCCTGCCTTTCGTTCTGTTCTGTCAAAATGATCCCACACTGCTTCAGTAATGTTGAAGTCTGGACTCTGCACGGTGGATCATACATTTTTATGTTGGACGCTACTTTTCATCATTTCATCAAAATCCCCAACGGCACTGAAATGCAGCCCCAAATGTTTCAGTGTTGAATCTCTTCACTTTGTCAGGTCTTTGAATTTCATTGGTAAAAATCATTTACAAGACTTAAAAATTCTAACAAAAGGAAAGTAGTTTTTCTAACTTTCACATCCTTGACTGACAGAAGAACCTCGGAGACTCCAACAAGGGTGGAATTGACGATGTGGTTATGTGGCTGATAAGGAATACAAGATATGTTTGCTTCCATTTCCTTTATTTACATATAAAACACAGCACATTGTTACAAAGGTAAAAAATAATTCTGTACAAAAGCTTGTGACTGTTAGGAAACAATCAGGTCATGTAGACTATCTGCAGACATTTACACACGAGCTTCACCTGGTTACAGTACTAAAAGGAACATTCAAACGGAGGGAAATTAAACGACTGACTTTTAAGACGGTCAAGATGGAAAGAGTTAATTTTTTTTTCAAGTCAATAAACCCTTCAGAACCGTATGTATGGTCTCAATAGAAAAATAAATAAGTCATCTTTGGTTCCTTTACCAGCACAACCTTTCACCTTGAGACATCATTAGTCAACCAAATTGCGTTGGAGACACAACATTTTTGAGTTTTGGTGAATTTTGAGCCTGTTGCTAATTCTGTTAACTACCCATCTCCAGTTTTTCCTCTTTTTAAAAAAGACAAACAAAAAACTGAAAAAATAAAAAGCAAATCACTTTCTGTGCAGCAGAAAAAAGCTACCAGATGGTGAAGTACAATTTTAAAAAGTTTTTTGAAAAGTTAAAATGTTTGCAGAAGACTGCGTTCACACTGTTGGTCTTCCAATATGGCGGCTCAGTGAGCTCTGAACCAGCGGTAAGGCTTGAACGCTGACAGTAAGTGCAGCTCCAGGCGGCTTTTAGCTCGCCATCCACAAGGTGAAGGGGATGAGGAAGGCTGGCAGGGCGGTGCTGACGGATATTCCCATATAAGCCATGGAAAGGAGCCCTAGCAGTGCTGTCAGCATGGCGTTTCGCTGGTCCCGGATCAGCAACTTCAGCCACTCGCAAAACTGGAGAGAGAGGACGAAAACGGGCACAAAATTAATTATGATCATATTAATAGAGCAGCTGAAGAGCTTTAAATGTGACAAGACAAATATAAACTCAGGATTAATTTTATTTCTCAGTGAACAGAGAGGAAAAAACCCTAATCAAATCAACGTGACACAGTTTTTAAAACCAGGGCAACTCCCCAAAACACTCAGCAGTTTTCCAAGGTGTAAAGCAGGTAGGTTGGTTGGTCTATAGGCCTTTTTTTTTTCAATTTACACCCAGTGATTCGCTCAATACACAGATAAAACTATTAGACACAGGATAAGTTCACTCTATTCCCTCCCCCCAAAGACTACCCAAAAAGCTCAAATCAAAGAGCTTTTTGTGGTTGATACAAATGAAGCAAAGCACCAGTCTTAAGACTTTCTCTAAGCCGACCTCTTGTAGCAGAATAACGACCATAATTGACCTGATGTTTATTTTTGTGAGGGGCCCTCAGAGGTCCTTTTAAGAGCTTCTGTTGGCCCCTAGCCTCCCTTGAAATGAACCTGCAGAGGCAGACTCTGAGGCTGCAGACAGGTCTGATGTTTAGGTTAGAGATTGCAGGAAGTGAAACTTGATCAGGGGAAAGTTTCTCTGCTGCAAGAGAGAAACCACAGTCTGTTCTTTATTCCTGCTGCGTTTAGCTTCAGTTTCATTATAAGATAGGATAATATTTTATATACAGCAAGAATTTTCATTTTGTATGTGTGTTCAGAAATGGATATATACATATATATTTTTAATGTACAAGAAAATAAACTTTTAAATGTATTTTTCCTTTGTTTGTTTTTTTTAGCTGAGGAGCATGTACAGCTTTCTACCACTAGAGGTCTCTCTTCTGCACATTGTGCAAGACAGCGCCCCCTGTGACGTTAACTGGTTTGCCTTTTGTTTTTTTTACGTGTAGGTCAAGTGCATTAAGCCCCAGTTCCACAGGCCTACAGACTGCTTGCCAACCACTGGTCGCTAGGGAAACTGTAGCTGTGTCCCAAAACTGTGTATATACTTTAACGGGGTTGGTGGCGTGAAAGTGGTCGTAAAGATGTATTTGGTGGTGCACTAAAAACATCCTCGCGATTGACTTGGTCGCTAACTGATAGCTGCGGTCACCTGCAGTTTGTGTGAAAGATGCTGAGTTGTTATGACTCGCCAAGCAGTAGTGACACTGATAACGCAAACTGTAAATCAGGAATCATTGACCTTCAAAGTAAGAGCTGCCTTCTTTTTTTTCTTTTTTACATGTGTGTGGGTTTTTGCAGTAAGCCACAACTTTTACTGTGTTCAGTTTTTTGAGTCACACTTTTTTAAAGATTCACTAAAGCTTAGAGTGTAAAATCTGTATTTAACGCAAACTATTGGCAACCATGGCAACCTTCCTCTAATGACCAATGCAATCACAAGGAAGTTGTTGGTGCAGCGCCCTTCAGCAACCTAGGGACCGTTTCATTGTGGGGTCTTTACCTTAGAATATAAAGCCCCTTTAGGAGACTATATAGATAAAATGAATAAATGAAAATAAAATAAAATGAAATGAATAAAATGAATCAAACTGAATAGACTGGAGGTTCCCAGGCGGTCGCTGACCGGTCTCTATGTGTGACTGAGGCACTGCTTAAACACGAACAAAGAAAAACAACAGAAAAATACAATGTTTGCTGAGTTATCCTAGCTAGCAAGTAAACTGTTAGCTAAAAATAGCTTTGGTGCTCAAATAATAATAAATGATATTCCTGAGTGTTAAATACTCAATATATTAATTACCTGTCAGTTTTTTTGTTTGTTTTTACTTTTTGGTGCTTTTATGTCAAATGTAATGAACATTTCACTTCGAACTTTTTACTTTGAACTTAGATGTTCAGAGGAACTGGTGAAAATGGTGTAACATGCTAATAATCTGTTTTCTCATTAGCATTTTGTATTAGCACGGGGCATAAAGTAAAGCTGAGGCTGACTGGAGTGTCTCTAGTTTTTCAGATATTTGGACAAACCCAAAAGGACTGCACCCATCTGAACTCAAACAGCCTCAAACAGAGTTGCTTCTGTGATGCCTAACCACAATCTGAATTAACCACAGAGAGGTCAGCTTTCTGATGTGCAGGAGCCTCTGCTGCATCATCATCATTATCATCATCAGAGCGTACCAGCCCAGATTCTGCTGCTGCCTTTTGGTTTCTGGCAGGCGACTCTGGTCTGAATGCAGCTCTTGTTCTCAGGACTTTTCCAAGGAGTGACCCAGATTTTCCTTTTCTGCTCAGAAGCAGCTTCACATTCACTTGGAAACAAAGGCAGAGAGCTGTAAATGTTGTTTTTAATGTCTGAAAATGAAGACTTAAAGCTCTTGAATAAATCACTGCGGTGAACAGAGTTAGCTGCACAAAGAGACCCCCCCCCCCACACACACACATTCATTTTGGATGTGTTTTTAGCCGTGATTATTGCTATTATGGCTTCTTTCCACTCCTCTCTTCTACTCTCTGTAGGACTTTTAAAGATCTGTGGACAGGAAATAAGTTGCAGCCAGACTAGAGCATGGCAGAACACAGTGAGCTGGTTCTACAGCAATAATAATAACTAACTACTGACTGTTTGTGAACCTAAGCTGCAAACGATGCTGTGATCCTGTTTGCTGTGATTCTTTTTATTTTTAGGCCACTTAAGTGATAAAAGCTACTATGTTAAAGTAATGTCATTGCATTCAATCAATAATAATAATGTCATGTAGGTGACTATTTACTTTTAGTGTGTTTCACTGTGAAAACTGTTGTAATATTACTTCATCAGTCTAAACAGATGTCAAACATGCGGTTCGTGGTCTAGAATCAGCCCGGCAAAGGGTCCGATCTGGCAAAGTGGATGGCTTTGAAAAGATGTAAAAACCAAAAAGGATGAGGGCATGAATCTTGTTCTATTTCCTCGTTAAAAATGTGTAATGACACCAGAGTTTGAGCTGTGAATGTCATCTGAGGTCTGAGTCAGTGTCACGTTTTCTGCCAGCACCCACGGCCATCTGCACCAAACTAGGTAACAGATAAAGAGTTCAGATTCAGATTTTTTGTGGCCCCACATTTAAAAATCCAGCCTCAAGTTCACAAACCATCTACACATTCAAAATCGAATGACTGCTGTAAAAGAAAAGGAAAACAGGGCTTTGTTTACAGCCTTTTAAACACGCTTGGATGCACCTCGACTCCACATTCAAAAGGTTGAGAATAAATAAAGATTTACAGCAGAACAAACTGTTTCTGCTTACCGTGAATAAAGTGTATCACTGTGAAGCATCAGTGCAGCCCTGTCACTGTCGCTCTGATGTTGCGCCAAAAATTACACTTAAACTGTCATAAATGACTTGTTGGCCTATAATTTGTTAAAATGTGTCACACATCTGTCATAAATGATACGGAGTCACTCTGAGTGTCAGTGACACCAAAAATTTGTTTTTCAAGATCGATCTGGCAAAGAGGGCAATAAACCTTGTGGCAAATATAACTTAAAGTTTGTTTACAGAACTTTTTTTATAATGGAAATACAACGACACATAAACAGAGCAGGTTCTCCTTCATCGATCCTGTTCACTGCGATGTGTTTACCATCAGGAGAGATATTAGACATAAAACACCCAGCAAACACGCCGTGTCGGTCTTGGGTTCGGGCTCACCTTGTCCGTCTGCAGGCTCTGCGCGGTGCCGTAGCGGCAGTAGGTGACGAAGTGCTCGCAGTTGTTCCATAGCAGGCTGTAGGCGACGGTGCCCACCAGCCGCTCCGCCCGCAGCGCCACCTCCTCCCCGGCCAGAGGGCTCTTGCGCACCGAGCGGTCCATGGCGTTCAGCAGGATCCCGGCGCCGTACGCGAAGTCCTCCACAGAGTCCACGCGCACGCTGGCGCGCTTCGCGATTACTCCTACCAGCAGCCGTGTGTTGGTCACCATCTCCTCGATCTGGCGGATGTCGGCGGTCAGCGCCGGGAGGATGTCCGGGATGAGATGCGCCACCCGGTCGTCGCCCAGGTAGATGCCAAAGTGAGTGAAGAGAGTCCGGGGAACCTCCAGCAGGTCTCCCCGCTGGAACCGGTGAGAGGCTGAGGCGGGCAGCGGCGGTGAGTCTTCCCGGTCACAGCGCTTGCTGGTGGGCGGCGGTTCTGCGCACTCTACGCCCAGAGGAGGCAGCAGGCTGGAGAGCTTGATGTGCGCGAGGAGGAAGAGCTTCTCCAGGAGGAAGGTGAGCGTGTCCAGCATGGTGAAGCTGAAGTAAACCGGTCTGTGATCACTGATCTGCTTCTCTGTGGCCTCCTCTGCGCACAGCCACGAGTTTTCCTCCTCACTGTGGATGGGAGGGGGCGTGACGTCATGGCCGCAAAGAGAGGCTGCACGAGAAAAGCGGGTGTGGGACTGGGAGAGGGGGGCAGAGAGGGGGGAGCTCTCAGGGATCTGCAATAGGTTTGTGAGTCAGGTATGAGGCCACGGCAGAAAAACAAAAACAGAACAGAGCTCAAACCACAGAGCGTCGTCCTCCACCGCGTTCACCACCTCCACACCAGCCAAAATGCAGAGAGGTCACAACTTTCTAGCACAGCAAAATGTGGCTCTCACATATTCATCACAACCACCTTCCTGGGAACTGTGCTGAGGTCGCAGCTTTTCCAAAGTCACCAAATGGCCTAACACACACACACACACACACACACACACACACACACACACACACACACACACACACACACACACACACACACAGGGAGGCAGAGTGAGCTGGCAGTGTGTCTGCAGAGCTGTGTGTGTTTGTGTGTGTGTGTGAGCTGTAGGCTCAGCTCCTGTTTGTTAAACTCAGAAAACTGATTAGTAAATAAAGTCATTATTCTTGGTGTCACTTTAAACTCCTTGTTTACTTCCGAGCTTCCACCAAAAATCCCTGTGGGGCCTTTAAACACATCATCACCTCTGGAGCTGGAAATGCCAAAAAAAGGACATAAACTGCAGTTCCTCTAACGACCACTGGAGGCTGGGACTCCCACTGACATATTTAGCATTTTTAAAATAACTAATTATGACCCAAATTCATTATACTTTAAAAAATCCTCCTGTGAGACACTGGCAATCCCCCCCCCCCAAAAAAAAACCAAACAAACAAACAAATAAACAAAAAAAAAAAAAAAAAAAAGACTTGGCATGAGTTGAATTCCCACAATCCCCCCACTCTTTGCATGGCCATACAGCTACAACTCTGGACACCTACACCAATTAAACTTGCTGAGAGGCATCGTAAAAGTTATCACCCCCAGCTGCATTAAGCTAACATGCTGTATAGATAGGTGCCAGATTTCTAATTGGTGCAAAGAAAATATAAAATATAAAAAAATACAACCAATAAATATAAACGTCTGCAAACTGAAACATAATTAAAATAGAGGATTCATTAGATGAGCAGTGAGGAAACAATGACGGTGTACTCAACACACTGTATAAAAGTTCTGGAACAATTTCAGGACTTTCTTTTGGCTCAACGTAGATTTTCTGGGAGTGATTACACACCTAAGCCTGATTAGTCTCTATATAGTTCAGGCAGAGTCATATACTAACTTTTGTTTTTGCTCACAGCCACAGGAAGTCACTGGAGGGGAAAAAAATAGTTACATGGCGCTCCAGAGCAGCAGCCTTTAAAGCTGGGTCACCTTTGGTTATTAGACGAAAGGACCTCAGTGAGTCAAACTATGGAGTTCATTTTGTGTCACTGATCCATGAATGGCTTCAAATCAAATGAGGTTTGCATTTCACAGTTGAGAAAATTAGCTTTTCTCTAGCAGCTGAGGTTTTTAAAGCCTTTACAATCGAGGCGGAATTTGTCCAACTCATAAAGATGTGACAAAAGCATTAATAACTGTTCTGACAAAAGCTGTTTTACCTGCACTGTCCTCACACGAGTTTAAGGTTAAAGTCTACGCCATGTCCGATGTAACTGAATCGAACACTGTGGCTGCTTTGCATGTGTGAAAACAGATTTAATTACCAATGCTGAGAGCAGCAGTTGTAGTCAGGAGGACAGAAGCTGTTTTCATCCACCTCTCATTTCTGTTATTCATTCTTCTCCTGCCTTTCTTCCTTCAGAGAAGAAGGGGATTGGGAGGGGATTAAGGGTCGATTATAGAAACACACACACACGGACACACTGAGCCGCCATCCCCCTGCTGAGACAGCCTAACTGGTGCTGAAAGATTGAGGAGGGATGAGATGTGCCTGCTGAATGAGTGTTGATGTGATCCCTGCTGAGACGCTGCTAAAAGGTGAATGGAGTTGAGTGACAGGCTGCTCAGCGGGTGTGTGGGTGTACCTATGAATCTGTTCATGTGGGGACCAGGAACTATTTCAGACCTTGTGAGGACTTTGTGCATGAAGGCATTATGTCTGGGTTAAGTTGTTATTTTGTTCTCATTTTTTTAACTCGATGGATTTTTTAATCTTTAGTTTCACTTTGATCTTCTTCTTTCTGTCGTTATTTTGTGTCTGTTTGTGGTTGTTATGAGTTAGTTTGCATCTCTGATACTGGTCCCTGCCTCTTTTTGGTCGTTGTGAGTGTGATAGTTGTTTAGCACTTCTTTGCAAATATTTGCATCTTTTTCTCTCTTTCAGAAAACTCTACGTGACCTTTCCAAACCATTGTTATTAACGACGTCTTCAGCCATGACAGTGAAGATGAGCTAAACAGTGATGACATATATGCTGTACAACATGTGTTGTACAACACATCAGAGACTAGCATGTGTACTGAATATTGGAATAAAAAGTTAACTGTTATTAAGTTGCCAATGTCAGATACATGCTAGCTAACGGCATATGTTAGCGGTAACATTATTAATTTGTGCAATTACATGAAATCAATGAATCACGTGTTGAACATGATATTATCACTGTACACGGGTTAGCTGCAGAAGTGATTTGACAGGCTAAGCTAGCATTTCTAATCAGACCTGATTGTGTCAGTAATAACATTTGTACAGGCGCTGGTAAATAGCTTTTTTGTGTTAGCAGGGTCACTAGTGTTAGCTAACCTTAGCAGAAGAAACACAGCTTACTGGGGATCTATGCTTCAGCGACAAATCTGAAGCTATATCATAACCGCAAACCCCTCTGAAACTTATGTAGGTTAAAGCTGTGCTATAACCTGCAGCGTACCTCCCTAGAAATATAACTTCACATCAGGTCTACGCAGCCTGCAACTACTGTGATTGTTCAGTATTCCTCATGTGCATTGATCGTTACTTTTTCCCTACAGTTGAACCATAACAGCCCCAAAAGGACTCAGAAAAGTCAGCAAATTCAGCGATTGACGAAACTATGGATGTAAGAGGATGTACAAAGAATTGGAAAAACTTGAGAGACAAATGTGTTTATCCCCAAAGAAAACTGACCACAACAAAGACAGGGACCCAGAAGAGGAACAATCCCCATCTCTAACTTATGTACAGTGGGGCAAAAAAGTATTTAGTCAGCCACCGATTGTGCAAGTTCCCCCACTTAAAATGATGACAGAGGTCAGTAATTTGCACCAGAGGTACACTTCAACTGTGAGAGACAGAATGTGAAAAAAAAATCCATGAATTCACATGGTAGGATTTGTAAAGAATTTATTCGTAAATTAGGGTGGAAAATAGGTATTTGGTCACCTCAAACAAGGAAAATCTCTGGCTCTCACAGACCTGTAACGTCTTCTGTAAGAAGCTTTTCTGTCCCCCACTCGTTACCTGTATGGATGGCACCTGTTTGAACTCATCATCTGTATAAAAGACACCTGTCCACAGCCTCAAACAGTCAGACTCCAAACGCCACCATGGCCAAGACCAAAGAGCTTTCGAAGGACACCAGGAAAAGTATTGTAGACCTGCACCAGACTGGGAAGAGTGAATTTACAATAGGCAAGCAGCTTGGTGTGAAAAAATCAACTGTGGGAGCAATCATCAGAAAATGGAAGACATACAAGACCACTGATAATCTCCCTCGATCTGGGGCTCCATGCAAGATCTCATCCCGTGGGGTCAAAATGATCATGAGAACGGTGAGCAAAGATCCCAGAACCACACGGGGGGACCTGGTGAATGACCTGCAGAGAGCTGGGACCAAAGTAACAAAGGTCACCATCAGTAACACACTACAACGGCAGGGAATCAAATCCCGCAGTGCCAGACGTGTTCCGCTGCTGAAGCCAGTGCATGTCCAGGCCCGTCTGAAGTTTGCCAGAGAGCACATGGATGATACAGCAGAGGATTGGGAGAATGTCATGTGGTCAGATGAAACCAAAGTAGAACTTTTTGGTATAAACTCAACTCGTCGTGTTTGGAGGAAGAAGACTACTGAGTTGCATCCCAAGAACACCATACCTACTGTGAAGCATGGGGGTGGAAACATCATGCTATGGGGCTGTTTTTCTGCCAAGGGGACAGGACGACTGATCCGTGTTAAGGACAGAATGAATGGGGCCATGTATCGTGAGATTTTGAGCCAAAACCTCCTTCCATCAGTGAGAACTTTGAAGATGAAACGAGGCTGGGTCTTCCAACATGACAATGATCCAAAACACACCGCCCGGGCAACAAAGGAGTGGCTCCGTAAGAAGCATTTGAAAGTCCTGGAGTGGCCTAGCCAGTCTCCAGACCTCAACCCCATAGAAAATCTGTGGCGGGAGTTGAAAGTCCGTGTTGCTCGGCGACAGCCCCAAAACATCACTGCTCTCGAGAAGATCTGCATGGAGGAATGGGCCAAAATACCAGCTACTGTGTGTGCAAACCTGGTAAAGACCTATAGTAAACATTTGACCTCTGTTATTGCCAACAAAGGTTATGTTACAAAGTATTGAGTTGTATTTTGGTTATTGACCAAATACTTATTTTCCACCCTGATTTACGAATAAATTCTTTACAAATCCTACCATGTGGATTCATGGATTTCTTTTTCACATTCTGTCTCTCACAGTTGAAGTGTACCTCTGGTGCAAATTACTGACCTCTGTCATCATTTTAGGTGGGGGAACTTGCACAATCGGTGGCTGACTAAATACTTTTTTGCCCCACTGTAGCTTACCTAAATTACCCCTCAAGCTCCACAAGGATTCTCAGCAGAACTCTAAAACAGGCCTTAGAAGTTTAAGTCTGTATTGTGCTTGAAGCTAGTTGTTTGGTAACGTTAGTGGACTAAATTCAAATTCAAATTTTATTTGTCACACACACACAACCATACACAGTATGACATGGGGGTGAAATGCTTGTAGCTGTACAATGCCCGACCATTAAATGACAGAAGAAAAGTTTTACAA